CAATATCCAATCCCCGGGATCCCGACCACATCCCCGAGAGAAGGCCAGGGGGCAGCCTTCGCCCACTGGCCCAATGGTGCCCACGGCCTGAACCTGGAGCTCCCTGGCATCTGCCAGATCGCCCACCAATGCCTTGCCTCAGGACGCCTCACCTGGCTGCCTCCACTGTCGAAGGCAGCCAGGCTGGCGAGGCTGACCTGGTCATCTTCCTCACTGCGGATTCCAACTCCAACCGCGCGTGGGGCGTCGTGGGCAACCCCGACAGAGTCAACGTTGGACTTACGCGGGCCAGGCGGGGCATCGTGGTCATCGCCGACGGCCGCGTGATGCCCTCCATTGCCGACTCCAAGCTACGGTTGCTCTCCAGCAACGGTCGCCTCGCAGGCCTGTGGGCGCGTTTTCTCAGCCCCCCCCCCCACCGGGGCCCCGGGAGGCGCGACGAGCTGCTCGCTGACGCTGGCTTCGACTCTATCGGTGACCTCGCCTCCAGGGCGCCGCGGGGCTCCGACGCCCTTGCCGCCAACGAGGCTAACGACGACAGGGAATTGAGATACCCGGAAGGTGGCAGAAAGGAGGGGCCACCACGCCAAAGGCTTCGACGTGCAGTGCGACCTCCCCCTGGAGATCGAACGGCGCTGGGGAGACCGGACTCCGGCTGGAAGCAGCGCTCGAGGAGCTCCTTACCGACCCCGCCTTTTCCTTTGTCCTCTTCCTAGTGGCAGGACTGCGCCCCCGCAAGTGCAACCTCGAGGGCGCTCCCTCCGACGCTGCGCAGTATGATAGGAAGGCCTGGAGCCGCCTGGGCTACCTGTTCGACGTGGACCTAGGACTGGACGCTGGCAGCCTGGTTTGCAACGTGACCTGGGCCACCCTGGTCTTGTCCGTCGGTCTGGGCGCCGACTGGGGCAACCCCTCTTGCCATATTCCGGACAAAGAGCTGCCCCCGAGACCGCAGGTCCAAGGACGGGCCGCCTGGCGACCCCAGAACAAGAACCGCTGCACCTCCGCGACCTCCCGCACCGCGTCCCCAGCGCCTGGTTCCAAGAGACTCGGACCTGCCCGCGCTACTTGGTCTACCCATACTTCGAGGCGCTCGTCAGCTTTTTGGAGGGTCACGACGGAGCCACGCAGCATCGCGTCGATTTGCGTGACCCCAACAACTGCGTCATGTCCACCGAAAGGGCCCGGTGCGCTCTTATCATCATGCTGCTCATGAAGCGCGAATCTCGCAGCCTCCTGTGGCACTTCCCCGACCCAATCGGATCCGGGGACATGCTGGAAGCCAGCCTCGGGGTATGCTGCCCGTGGCAGAACGGCCGCCGCCTCTTCCAGTCGGAGTTCGCTTCCTCCTGGGGGCTGCAGCTCTCCGACCTCCGCCAGCTCCACTCAAGACTGGAGAGGCTGATTGGCTTGGCGGCCAATCTGGTGACCTCGGCCCACCGCCGCCCCGCCGCGAGGTCTGCCCGATGCCCCGCCACCGACGCGGGCATGGACATCTTCCCCTTCAAGCTCAAAGCCCCGATGTTGGTCTTGGAGGAGATCGTGAAGCCAGCCGACATCAGTGCCCTCTCACGCACAGGGTGCAGTATTTGTTCTCTCCACTGGGAACTCAAAGGCAACGAGTGCGCCCTGGGGCCAGACGGCGGCCCTTCTGAGATTTCCTTCCTCAGCGGGGGATTCTCGATCGGACTTGCCCCCCTGGGCAGTGCGCTGCCACCATCCCCGCTCCCCAGCGTGAATAAGGTCCCTGGCTGCCTGGCCCCGGGCGGCACTCGCTTCGGCGCTGGCCGGATATCGGCCAGGTACAGGTATGACGTGTGCCACAATACCCCCCTCAGGCACAGCGAGGGCACTTGGCTTGACGACAATATTCGCTCGTATCTGGTTTCCGACCGCCTACAGGCACACGCCAACGGGTTGAATTGCACGTGGCTCTGCGCCCAGTGCTGGACAGAGTCGGCCGAGAGGGAAGGCCACCTGCTATCCCCCGACTGCCCCTTCGCCGACAACGTTCAGGCCGTCGCACTAGCCAGGGGGCCTTCCAGGCCCCTGCCCGTTGGAGCGCTACCCCCCGCCGCCTGCCAGCTCGCGCGCTCGACGCTTCCCCCCGCGGCGCCTGTGGGCGGCCCGGGCGATTTCCTGCTGGGGCCGGTGGGCCTCCATGTCCCCAAGAATGCCAGCGCTGCCTTACCGCCCGCGCGGATAGATGACGACAGGTTCGGGTGCGCGGCAGCAGAGTCCAAGCGCTACGCGGCCACGTGCGACGGGTGCCCACCCAGTGCCCCCCCGCTTTCCAGGGAAGCAGGTGCGCCCGCGCTCGGCTGCTTCGCATGGAAGGCTGACGCAGTGTTTCGCCGAGCGAGCGCGGGTGGCTCCCCGGCGTGGGGGGATTGTCGCCTGGATGGAACGCCGCCTGGATGTGCCGCCGATGCTTTGTTCACGCATGGAACGCCAAGCCCAGCGCAGTCAACGGGCCGCTCGACCAGGGCCCCCATCTCGTCCACCCCCGCGCCCCCACCTCCAAGCCACGTTCCGCCCCGCCAGTCCCCAACGAGCACGCAGTATCCAGAGAACTCGTGCCCAACCGCGCCTCAGCTACCAAGGCTGCCCCGCGCAGCATGGGCGGAGGTGCCCCCAGCCTGGCCGCCCCCGAACAGTATGGTCGCCCCCCCGCAACGCGCGGGGCCGAGGAGGTGCTCGGGCTCCTACCCGAGGTGGATCTCCCCAAAGGGCCAGCCTTGAACAACATCAACATCGACCTCCTGGATGCTGCCGAGGAGGAGGGGTGGGACTGCCTGGGCACCAGGCCCATCGAGGTCAGGATGGTCGAGTTCCCACGCGACTTGCACCCGCATCTGGACGGCCGATGGAGGGATTTCACCGCGGAGGAGGGCAGGGGCGTGGTGGGCTC